TTCAAATATTGTCCTATCCTAACAAACCATACATCAATGGAAAGCGCATTTATTCATTAAAAATGGACCCTTGTGACTGTTTAGTGCTCCATATTGTGAAGTATGGTGGATGCTGCACACTGGTGGTGGTCGAAGAGATTCCCTTCTTCCAATTAAAGCGCTTAGAGTACCCAGAAAAGTGCTATATGAATGTAAGGAAGTATTATTAAGTAAACTTAGGTGACAGTTCAGAGGTTCTAACAGCATGTGGAGAAGGAAAGCAGGCTCACCTCTCTCAGCACGGCCTTGAATCGGCTTCTGCTGGTGTTTTTAGCAGCGGTGGGTTTGGCCTTGGCTCCGCCGTATCTCATCTCGCTGCGTTTGCTCATGGTCTGGGCTTTGATGCTCGGCGCGTCTCCCTCCATCACAAACACCAGCTTCACACCCATCAGCGTGAGCGAGGACACGCGGAAGAACAGGTTCCTGCGCGACACACAGCATCCACACCTGAGCCACTCTGTAATAAACGGCTCTGATCTGCCCGACATGCTTCCAGACTCACCTGAGATGCGGTTTGGTGACTCTTCCCATCATGCCCTGCACGTGCTGGGCCTCGCAGACCCACAGGCTGAGGTCCACGGCGAGGGTCTTTCCTGACAGACTGTAGAGCGGCACAGACTGCCGGACCGGATCCAGGACGGACCAGAGCTCAGAGACACCCATCGCCTGCAGAAACAAACACCAGCTCGCTTCACAACATACAGACTTCCAAACAAGACCAATATGCTAAAAGCATTTAACACAACAACAACAACAACTCTTTAAAAAAATACTATAACGTACTACTTATATATAAAATGTATAAAATATTTAACATCTCTCTGTATATATACTATTTATAATATTTTATTATATATGGGATCAGTAAGTTTTTAATGTTTATTAAATAAGTTTCTTCTGCTCATCAAGGCTGCATATATTTGATCAAAAATATAGAAAAAAACAGTAAAATTGTGAAATAATATTGCAATTTAAAATAATGGTTTCTATGTGAATATCTGTTAAACTGTAATTTATTCCTGTGATGCGCAGCTGTATTTTCAGCATCATTACTCCAGTCTTCAGTGTCACATGATCTTCAGAAATCAGTATAATATGCTGATTTATTATTAATGTTGGAAACTGCTGCTTCATATTTTTTTGGAACCTGTGATACTTTTTCAGGATTTATTGATGAATAGAAAGTTAAAAAGAACAGCACTTATCCAAAATAGAAATAGTTTCTAACAATATAAGTCTTTGCGTCACTTTCCTTCCTGAAGAAAATAATTCATTTCTTTTAAAAACTAAAAGTTTAACAAAAATGTTTTGATCAAAGCCACTCGATTAGCAGTAAGGGTTAACATAAGATATACAGTTTATGAGAAGGAAAGGTTACTTACATGTGTTATATGTATCTTGATGGATAAAAGGTCGGTGTTTATATATTTAAGCTGTTTTTCGCGAATGTTTTGTTGAGCGAAGCTTCGGTTTGAATGTTTGAATAACTCGCGGCTGTCGCAGATCTCGCGCGTCATCAGCGCCTCCAGCGGCCGGGAGGAGAAGCGCGACTTCCGCTCAGACTTAGAATTCTTTTCATTTTTAGTGTGAAATCAAAGACAAACGATTTATACGAAAGCAAGATTAATAACGGTAATAAATAAATAAATAATAATAAGTAAATGTGAGCGGGCAGTGAATTGTTCCGGACGTGACGTGTCCAGAGACCCGTATGTAGGTGACGTGTCTCAATCCCGGAACTCATCGCAGCAGGAGCTTCTCGAGAATTCCTCACAAACATCACGAAAACAACACGATAAGCGTGAGTAATTCAGTGAACTACACTATTGATCTTCATTATTAGATTCTCGTGTCGTCGCATCACAGTTGATCACACTCTCGATCTCAAAAAAAAAAAAGGTTTATTAGCGATTATGATTTTATGATGTGCTTTTAAATGCCTTACAACAGCATCATCGAGGATGAGGAGGAGTATTTTAATCACTTTCAAGTCCTTTACCTAATACTGTGGTATTATTACATAACGTTACATTTATAACCAGTATTGTATAAAGCGCTATATGTGACCCTGGAGCACAAAACCAGTCATAATTTCCTGAAACTGAGATGTATGCATCATCTGAAAGCTGAATAAATGCGCTTTCCACTGATGTATGGTTTGTTAGGATAGGACAATATTTGGCTGAGATACAACTATTTTAAAATCTGGAATCTGAGGGTGCAAAAAAATCTAAATATTGAGAAAATCATCTTTAAAGTTGTTCAAATGAAGTTCTTAGCAATGCATATTACTAATCAAAAATTAAGTTTTGATATATTTACGGTAGGAAATTTACTAAATATCTTCATGGAACATGATCTTTACTTAATATCCTAATGATTTTTGGCATAAAAGAAAAATCTATAATTTTGACCCATACAATGTATTGTTGGCTATTGCTACAAATATACCCCAGCGACTTAACACTGCTTTTGTGCTGCAGAGTCACGGATATATATATAAAAGTCCCCTTTTTGCACAGTTGTGGAGTGCTCTTACAGACGCTAGAAGGTGCTTGCTCTGAGTGAGAGCTGGTCTGTGGTGTTTTGCAGTGAGATGGTGACTGATGTGCAGCTGGCCATCTTCGCTAACATGCTGGGCGTCTCGCTCTTTCTGCTGGTGGTCCTCTATCATTATGTGGCCGTGAACAACCCCAAGAAGCTGGAGTGAGGCTGAGAGAGAGACAGGTGAGCGGACCCAGCGTATCCCAGCAGCCTCTGCTCCGTCTCAGTAGATGATAATCACTGCTGTGTGTCTGTTTCAGGATGAGGACCAGGAACCGGACGCTCAAGCAGCCTGGACATCTGCATTTTGTATGAAAATGATGTGAATAAATTGTCAGAGTGTGAGACTGTGTGTGTGCGTTCTTCATGTTTTCATCTTTCAGAAACACGTGGGTGTTTATTGCTTTCACAGAGAAACGGCGTTTAATTCGGCGTGAACAGACTCGGACTCGATTCACAATCCTGTTCAAAACAAACCAGAATAAACAGAATAAACTCCACTCGAGCCACACGTTTAAAAGGGGTTCTTCTCCTTTAAATAACCATGATATGTTTTATTGCACATACTAAACTAGGGACGCACCGATATGAAAATTTTGGCCGATACCGATAACCGATAATTCTTTATTTTTGAAAGCCGATAACCGATATGTTGGCCGATAAATCTATATCCACATTTTTATATACTTTTTGAGAGCCTGATTACAAAAAAGGTCTCATCATTAAAAGCCACATCCCAAACACTTCAACATAAGCAGCCTAGTTTGAACGGTGTACGTTTTAAAAATAATTTTACTCTCCCATTACCAAATTTAGTCATAAAAAAGTCTCACAAATAAATAAAATAATGCATAAATAATGCAAACAAGTCACTGGACATCATTACACGTGTAAAGAATCAAAATGAATGCGCCATAGATCAATAAAACGGAATAGCCTCTGCACGGACAATAATTAAATGATTTGAACTAAACCCAAAGAATTCACAACGTTTTATTATAATAATGTTCTCATTAGAATGTTATATACACGACATTCCCAATCATAGTTATTAATGTTGTGCACTGCTGTTTGAGCTGCGTGCGCTGAGCTAAAGATGATCACCGGTAAACTGAAGCGCTCTTTTAACTTAACCAAACGCATTCTATATGAGATAAATCAGATATACATCAAATAAACACAATAATACAACGTACAATTGCACAAAAGGCTGCAAACGAACAGCGCGCATCTGAAGTGTCTCTGAAGGAAATAATGCATTATTTATCGGCTTTAAGATATCGGCCAAATTTTCTTATCGGGCCGATACCGATAACAGAAAAAATGAGCATTTATCGGCCGATACCGATATGGTGGCCGATATATCGTGCATCCCTACTCTATACCTAATCTCATCATCTCATCCAACATTATGTAATAGACATTTATAGGCTATTCATCAATGCAATACCATGTCAATAAAATAGTCATCAAAATTGTAAAGAAATGCATGTGAAATGCATCCTTGCTGAAGATACAATGACATGATAGCAGGATGTCATAACAGTGAGGGAGTGTGTTGTAGAAGTTCAGTGGGGTCGGAGTGGGTCTCAACCCAACCCACGCAGCAGCGTGAGACAAGAGCATCCCAAAAGCTCTTTGTGTTAGAAGAGGACAGAGAACCATTTGCATGTGTGCGTATGACATGCATTCAGCCATAACGGCTGGAACAGAGGAGGGTTTCAGGAGGGATTCAGCAGGGATGGACTGAAT